CTTTCTTAACGCTTTCACCAGTACTTCTCTTCGACTTATCCACCTATCACATTGCACCATACAACGACCAAGTGTTTCTCGATCGCACTATCCACCTTCGAAGCAACCTATCAGCACTGGTCATTTCCACCTTTACAGATGTTGACATTTTTAAGCAGCATTTGTTTACATAAATATAACAAAATCAAAGAATGTCCACATCCCTATCTAATCGTCCACAGCTATTTCGTGTCTCAAAGTGCCACTTTTTGCCGATCAACAATTACGAAATTTTTTTTCAGTAAAGCAATTTTTCAAAATGAGGCGTTATGTGTGGAGTGATCGCAGAAATTATTCCGTCCTATACATTTACAAAAAAAGGTTTCTCTTGAAGTAGAAGTCATCAGTATAGCAAATTTCGATAAAATATCGCGAAAGTTGCAATTAGATAAACCTTAGTCGATTCAGAAAATAGTTCTGAAATAATTGGTATAAGAAAAGGTGGATCTATTTTAAGTCAATCCATATCCGTAAACAAAAGTTGATATTGGATATGGAATATAAGGAAAGTCCTTCGAATGCAAATAAAAAAAAACCAAAAACAAAGAGTAGCATGAACAGCCGAGTAGGCGAACGATCGACTAATTAACTACTCAATTATCGTGGCTTGAATATTCAAGTGCGGTAGAATTTTGAATATAGGCGAGCATATTATCTAAGTATGACGGGTTACCATGACGGGTTCCATGAAATCCATGCTTTTATACATAGACAATAAATAAATAAATAATAGAAGGAGATGGGAGCGACTACGCATTCATTTTGTAAGCGACTCGAGCACTCATAAGCGTTACGAACGTTATTAACGACAATTAAATGGAGATAAAACGTATAGAATATTAGTAACGTATAGAGAGACGGAATTGTATACTGTCCACAATATATCCTTCAATTTTTCTTGCTTTCCCTTTTGCCTATAGTCCTTCTCCTCCTTCTTCATACCATAACGACGTGCACACATTAATAGGAGACATCGCCTAAGTAGGTTTCATAAATTTTCATTTCTTTTCCCTCCGTAATTGCGTATGCATCACAAAGCGATTTCAAACCGAATAAAATCGTTTTAGTATAAGAATTAATTATTCATTTGGTCAAAAGGAGGATTTTAACTGTTCTTGTAATAAAATTTACCTTAATTTCATTATAATGGAATATTAGTTTAATTTAATAAAATTGAACATAGAGCGTTTTCCGTTGCAACGATGCATTTATTGATTCCTTCATTGATGCATCTCTCATAAATTGCGTTTAATTGAAATTTTGTATGAAAACGTTCTAAATTTAAATAAACCTCAAGTGCAACCGCAAATGTATACGAGAGTGTATTTACATGGTTTAACATATACAAATAGGCATTGATAGGCAGGCGAAGTACGACAGAAAGGAATGAAGGAAAAAAAAAAAAAAAACGGAAACCACAAAATTTATATGTATAGGATATCAATTGAATTAACGCAAATGCAAATCGGCATACATAGAATATATGAATGCATATACATACATATGACCATATACGCACATATGAACAAACACCTTATGCAATTCAATTCAAAAACTAAGCTGCTGGCATACAGGTCTGTTTACTCAGTTAAACATAGAAATTAAGCAGAAACCACTACCATTACCACCGTCAATATAATCATTATTATCAATCATCATCATCATCATCATTATTATAATCATTATCATCATTATCATCATCATCACCGCCACCGTCATCATGATCATTAACTTTTGAATAAAGTGAATTTCTATTGTAACCCAAGTTTCGGATGCAAACGTATGTAAGCATGTAATAGTTAGGAAATACTGTTTTCCCATTTCTCTATAGAATTAATTGATTTGCTGCTATTAACATTGAACATTGGTTACGTTTTCTATATATTTATTTTATTTATTTTTTTTTTTTTCTTTTTTAATTTTTATACCTATCACAGAAGGTTTGTTGGATTTCTCAAATCTTTGCAAGGCTTGAAAAACCCTTGACTCCGAGATTCTATGAAAAAAGAAATAGTTTTAACCATGTCTGTCTCTCCGTCTCTCCATACCCAATATCCATTTGAGATCTCAAATAAAGACATAAAGTTGAATCTTAGATTCTCCTTTAAGTGCACGTCTCTCAAAAAAAAAAAAAAAAAAACTAAATCAAACCAAGAGTACGCCCGTAGTAGTCAAAGAAATCACGCCTCCCTATGAGATGCTTGCGACAATAAAGCAAGCAGAAAGAATAGATACCAAATAACGCGTGAACGGAATCTTTGCTGCTCGATCATCTATCTGACAGAGAAAATTTCTGATGACGGGTACATAATATTCGGCCTAATCTGATTGCAATTTTTTTCTGATTTTCGCTTTTGTTTCGTGTTTGATTTCATTTGCTATCGTTGTCGTCGTTCATTTGCTTACTTTATGCGCTCGTTGTAAGCCCGTCGCCATGTTAACTGTATTGTGTTTGTTTATTGCAAGAACGCATACGCACGCATATGGGCATATGCATGTATCGTTACTCTTAAATCAATATACACAAATCAAATTGATTACCTTTAAGTGATACGTACGATATATTATGTATATATATATATATATATATGGCGGCAAATGCATATATGTATGTATGTATGGTGATAATATGTGCACTTGCAGTGTAAATTCGCAAATCTGAAATTACATTATATGTATGAACGTAATTACAACCGCGCAACGGAATTATCGCACGCGTAGGAGGAACGTATTATAAGTTCGCCACGATTCAAATTCATTACAATTGCGCGTTTATGCATAAAAGTTTATGATTTATAATGACTGGGCTGAATGAAATTTGCAAAATTAAATAAACAACAACAACAACAACAACAACAAAAGTCTCCCTGTTCAGCATCTTTTATTTAATAATGCGTCGCGGTATCACGGTTATTGCTGTTAAAGACAAACCCAAATAACAAGGCTATGGCGTACAAGCGATAAGAATGACAAGCGTTTAATAATTGGCAGTAACTGTTTTTATTAGTCTATCGTTTCATATATAAAAGTCTTTGGCTGTTTATGGTTTTACTGCGTTATTTTTCAACCAATGCCACCTTCTTCTTTTTTCTTCTTAATGACACAAGAACTTTATGGACTGTAATAGATTTATTATTATAAGTGAAAGGGTACGAAGAAAATTGTTTAAATTTTAAAGACAAATTATCTCAGAGCAGAGTAATGCATACTATATGTGATCGTATAGTGCATACATGGAAAATTTTCCTTGAAATTTGATCGAAATCCATATTTGACGAAAAGTTAAGTGATGATAAGAATAAATACAATCCGTTACCAGATTTTCATCTACCAAAGAGTTCACCACAAAAATAAGAAGAGAAAATCCCCCAAAATATTCATCGTTTTGCTAATTTATTACAAAGTTACGCAATTCATGAAATTATTACAAGTACATAATTACTTTCAAAAGCAGTACAAGTCCATTTTCCGCTTTCAACAAAGACATATTCCACATAGCTTGTAAGTACAAGATAGCTGGTCTCCATAATTAAGAAATCGCAAAACGAAATAGTTAACGAGGACATCACTAATGAGTGGCCGAAAAGAGCGTGCAAGCATTTCAGAACATTCGCAAATTCCTACCTCTTGCATGTAACCCTTCAAAAACAAACGATCGCACAATAAACTAAAGTCCTGCTGTCTTCAGTCTCCAAGTAGGCAAAGTGGACAAACGGAAGCGGAAAGTATCGCTATAAGAAGTTGGTAAGCGATCCGGTTTGCGAACTTCTAATCGCGCCCAATCTAGTGGTTCATAAGAAAGCATTATTATAAGAGATTGGTTTGGACAAGTCGGTGGTTTGCCGGTTCCTTATCACTCCCAATGTAACGATTCGTAAATGTCCTTTGGTAATGAAAAACTATCAGAATGCATATCCGGAATGTTGGAATTTCCCGTCTATCCACTAGATTTGTCTCTCTCTGGTTTACGTCTGCTTATGAACTTTAAAAGATTTAGGCGCGATTGCTTTATAGCTATCGTTGAGGGCTTTTTATGGCCATTTTACCCGTAAATCAAAATGAAATTGATTGAGCAAAATGACCTGAAACGTATACTTTCTCATTAATGCATGTCCGCATAACCGAGCGATTATTCCGAACGAAGGTTTCATGTTTTCCAATAAACATTTCTAACAAACTTACTCATGCTCGCAAAAATAGAGATAAAATTCTGCAACAATAGTAAAAATTTGCCACGCCCACCCAACATTATAGAGTAAGGAAATATTGTTTTTTTTTTCGTTTTTTTTTTTAAATAATGCCGATGGATGATATAAAAGATTCGGCCGCAGATGAATATGATTTTCTTAGTGGTTTTTGTTTTTTTTTTAATTAATTTTACCAAAAAGATGACACGATGCTCTCTAAATTTGGGGTTATACTCTACAGAGTATAATAAGTTCGCACGACTGCATGCAACTCCCGGTTAGATTTGCAATAGACCCACCTTCCGAATACGTTTGAGTTTGTCTGTCCGTAAGTCCGTCTGTCTGGTTTGTTTCCTTGCGTTCGACCTACAATCTGCAATTTCTGACATACTGAAATAAATGAACGAATTGATGATATGCTAAAGTGTTTTGGCTGAAGGATGAGCACCGTCTTCATTTACTGCCCATATAACGTCTTTTTATGAAAATACCTTTTAGGATGGTGTCGGCTATTTAACGGTGGGCCATGGCCCAGTATAGTATTTTTACTTGTTCCAATTATTAAGTGCTGAATAAATTAATTCTCTATGCTGGGACGACAATTTTAAGTTGAAATATTCGCTAAACATCAAAGGCTCAATACATTTGCTAGATAAACAACTAATCATAGTTTTAACATTTTCTCATATATTACATCTAATTTCGATTTTGTTTATACGTTACATCGACAATCGTTCATAATTTGTGAAATTTTTTTTGTTTAATTTTTTACAGAAACCTCAATATTTACGGTTGAAGGTGTACATTTATATCCAGAACCGAATCGACAGAGCAAATGAAAATTAAAGCAGGTCCTATCAGTGGACGGTGTACGTTTCTACTGTTAGCAGCAACAGCATATAGAACCGCAGCAACAATAACCCAATACAAGATAATTAAATAGTTAAAAATCCACCAGCAAGCCATAAAATAATAACACTAAAATAATATTATATTAGTTATAAACATTTTTCCTTTTTTTTTTTTTTATCATATATTTGTTTATTGTATAGATATTTTTTTTTTTTTTGTTTTTTGCTTTTTTAATATAACATTTACATGTCGGCGAATTTATTTTTGATTTTACGAATGAATGGACAGAGTATAGGCAGGCAAGTGAGAGTCGTTCGCCAGAGAAGCAACACAAAACTGGTAAATCAGCCACATATATAGGCGAACAAGTAAAGCGTAATGCTTAAATTATTTGATATGTTTATATATAAGTCTATATATATATATATATTATATATATTGTATATATATATATATATGCATTAATATATATATATGTTTTTTTTTTTTTAATTAAATTAAATTTTTTGTCAAGCAAAATTTGCGAACGAAGAGAAAAAAATTTGGTAAAAGAGAAAAAGACAAGGCAGACTCAAAAGGAAAACAAAAATACAACACGTGCCTCCTGGTCCTCAGGTCCTCGATGAACGTAAGCACCGTTTAAATCAGAAAACCGAAAAAAAAAACAAAAAAAACAAAAAAATATATATTTAAAACTCAGCACACACACACAAAACAGCCAGAATCGTAAAGCAAAATTATAATTAAACAACAAAAATTTAAAAAAAAAAAAAAAAAAAAAAAAGAGGAAACAAGAAAATAAAATAAATCATAACAACACCAGTTTATGCCAACAATTTGATGATATTTACTAAGCACTAAAAATTGAATTTAGAAAAGAAAGAAACGAAAATTTCATACACTTTTTAAGCATTACACACCAAAAAAGAAAACAAGAAAAAAATGTTGGACCATTTATTGAAAAAACAAAACAAAAAGCAAAAACAGAAAAAGAAAAACAAAAACAAAAAAACAAAAAAAAGGAAGAAAGTAGTAAAAGCGAAAAAAAATGTTTAAACAACAAAGAAAAATACATTGTTAACGATTGCAAAATCAACCACAACACAGCAAGCACAACTACCACACACAACTGCACTTTATTTTAGCCTATTTAACTTTAATTGGTACGACATATAGAAGCAGAGACGAGAATTAAATTAAACAAAACTAAAAAAACATACAATACTTGTAAAAATAATTCCTATTTTTCACTAAAGAGCATAATCAATAAACATGAAAAAAAAAAAATCAAATATTTTGATGAATATTGCGATACATTCAAAAAATTAAAATACACACTCTTTCTCTCTCTCTCTCTCTCTCTCTCTCTCTCTCTCTCTCTCTCTCTCTCTGTCGCTCTATCTCTCTCTCTCTTAGAATTTCCAATCATAAGTTCGTCGCGGCATTACTTAAACACTAACCATAGGAATCAGTTAAGCAGTTAGATATTATCGATTATTTTCTATTGCATCTGCTCGCCTCTCTCTGGCCAAGTTCGGATGTGAGGTGGAAGGATTCCACAGAATTTTACATGCAAAGCATTTGCAGAATTGTTTGTAAAATGTTACCGAAACCCTATGGAAATGTGAATGAAAATGTTTTTATTTTTCCAAAATTATCGATACAAGGGACTTAGACTTGTTTCAATTGTTTACAAGCTCGCCCGTCTCGCTGCCTATTAAAGTGTAAAGAGTCGAATGCCAACCGTGGGGATTATGAAGTGAATATTCGACTTTGACCGAACGCTTACGATTATCTCAATGATGAAGATAATCCTCGCTTTTATGGTGATTAGCCTAATCATCACGAAGCCAGCATTTTTTTGATCTGCGTTCTCTTAGTGGAGGAATCCTCAAGAATCCATTTTCCTTCCGTCTATTTGCTTATTATGGACTTGTAGCAAAACTTGTTTCCTTTGTAGCATTCGCATAAATCGTGCCGACTTATCGCATACGATATGACCAATGCATTAGCCGAGTGCGGCCCTGCCGGATGGCATTGAATTCTTCACTTGCCATTAGCTTCCTATATGTGTCAAAATGTGTCTCAATTGGTTCATGATCAGGCAGCTTTGATATTCATTTCACTCATTCTCTTTCCTCATTCGCGAACCGTCAGATATACAAGCATAGATTTGAATTTACGGTAACATGTTAAATATTCTATAATTTTGTTGTTTTCTCTTTTTTGAATGTCTTTAATGCCATCTATCTCTCTCTTGCACTTTCAACTTTCGATAATTATTGATAACAAATTCAACTTCTTTACCGCATCCATGTTTCATTTGATTGATTTGATTAAACTTACTTTTCTTTTTGTCTGGCGATAGATCTTTTGCTTCGCTTTTGAAGTACAAAGGACTTTTGATCATAAGTTTAAAGCTCTTTAAACATTTTATATTAAGTTAAGTCGTAACCTTGATCGCTTCTTTGCACTGAAGTATGTGGTCCCGTGCTATCTTCAGTTGGGCTCTGCCCTTGATAAAGGTCGGAGAAGATCGATAACCTGAAGCAAGTAGTCTTTGTGCCCAGTATCTTGCACGTCATGAAGATCTAACTATTATAACCGACGAATCCAGTGCAATTTTACCTCTCGATTGTAAATCCACTAATCAATTGAAAATGTTTTTTTGTTGAGAAAATATTTGTTGTAAGATTTTTGAAGAAAATATACATTTTTGCATAAATCGATCGAAGAACACGTCTCCAATAGAACATAAATCGAGAGCATCTCAACATTTTTTTTTTTTTTTTCAAGAAAAGGATTAGTTTTGTAATTTCTCTATATACACTGTATGTTGTTTACAAGCTATACCACTAGTGGTATAAAAGTAGGGTATGTTAAGTTTCTGTGAATGTACACAACAGCCGGAAGGAGTTGAGGTAGACCTCCTCAACCTATTTTCATAAAGAATCGATTTAAGCTTATCTGCCCATCTGTCCGCCAGTCCGCCATGTTTTCGTGCCTCCAAGCTACAGGCCGCAATTTTAGAGATTTTTAAATGAGATTTGATTAGAAATTAGTAATTAGTTTAATAGAGAAGAAGACACTCACTATGTTCTGAAGCCTCACACACACTTCCTGTCGAATAATGGGCTGAGAATGTTCCGAACAAAAAAAAAAAGTAAATAAATAAATTAATTAATTAATAAAATTCAGGAATTCGAAACGCTACGAACTTATGAAACCACATAACATAACAACACTTTTGTGCTCTGAGTTTCTATGAAATTCTCGTGCTTAGCTTATGTGAAAAACAAAAAGAGAAAATTTAAATTCGCAAAAAAAAAATCCTATTATCATTGGGTGTGTGTCCCCCAAATTGAATAATATTTATTTTATTTTTTGTTTTCATGTTTATAATTTAGAAATGTAACTAAAGTGATTAGTTTTCATGTGAATGATTTTTTCTATTTCGTTTATTTTTATTTTTAATTTGTATTTGTATTTTTGTTTTTTCTTATTTAGGAAAATGATGAAAATTTTATTTGCAATAAGTGATATATAAAATAATATTTCTAAAAAAAAAAAATCCATGTATTTCCTTCTTTTTTTTTTTTCTTTTTTGTAATCTTCAACAATAATTAAATTTATAAATGAGACGTAATAATTAAATTTTAAAACTTACTTATTTAGTATTTTATTTTATTATTAATAAACAATAATCTCCTTTGCTTATATATATATAATAACTGAAATTAAATTTTTTATTTTATTTTGAGATTTTTCATTCATTATTAATATTTTGATGGAGAACCGAGTGAAGGAACTCTTCATGGGTTTTGCTTTTAATCGAATATATGGCATATCTACAGCTTCTTATTGAGGACAGATGATGTCATTCGCACAAGACGTTTTCAGTGGCTCGCTTCTTAAAGCCCTATCATGCTTGGTATTTTGTGCTTGTCGCACAAAAATGTATTGAAGAAAAGATTGATTAAGTAGGAAATGACTCCTTCGAATCGTTACGTGCACTTTTGTTCATAGCGGCAATATTCTTTACATATTTTTCATTTTGAGTGATTTTTTCCAATGAAAATTTTTTTTCTCGTATTCTTTTTTGAACGTTCAAGATTTCGCTTATCGCACTTTACTATCAACGGGTATCAATCAATAGACTTGAAAAAGAATGATTATCGAGAATGATTTTCGAGAAATGAATTTATGACGAGTTGTATCCTAACTAAACTAAGCAGATGTATTGAATTGCTTCAGCGATCCTCTGTCTTCAAAATTGAAAACCCCAAAAGAAAGAGATAAATATTGCAAAGAGTACGAGGAGTAAGGTGAAGTGTATACTCAGGCAATTTTAAAATATCCAAAGAGAAAAACTAAACTTAAAGATGTGACCGTAGCCGATATATTATATAAATTTAGTCGAAGATCAAAATCCAGCCGAATTGTAGACTAAAGAGTTCAGTAAAGGTAAAAAGTTTATCGTATTTCAGAATTTTCGAACTATTTTTCCAAACTTCAGTCATTTCGTCAGGTAAAGCTTATTTATAAGCAAATCACGCATGTTTCGCAAACTTGGAAATACACATACATACGTATATATACATATGTCGCAATTTTCAGCTCTTTATTTCAATTTCGACAAAGCACTTTAAAGCTTATGTTAATCGCATTCTATCCCTTCTAATGTCTGTGACAAACTTTGTCTGTGTCTAACATTTAGCAAAGAATGCTTAAAATATGTCATCTCGGTATCAGTTGCAAAGTCTTTTGCTGATTGGGGGCGTTTCAGCAGGTCGATCATAATGTTTATGTATTAAAATATCGTATCAAGACAAGATTTTGAATCCCATTTGCTTTACACCATTGGCGTCAAGCAGATCGTTTTATTTTTTTTTGAAATTGCTTAGGCTAATATTTGCACCGAGTATCAATTTTTCAGTGGCCCTAGGAGGAGGAAGACTAGTTTTCAAAGATGCGTCTGATGCGGATTTTTGAACGTTAAAAGAATAACAACTTTCTAGTGTTTGATGATTGCCGCCTTTTTGTGATCGCATTGTTTACTAAAATAATTGTTTTTAATTGTTAATTGATTAGTTAATTAATTATTTT